TAAATTTTCTGCGCTGTACCTGTATCGATAGCTTATTCGCCAATGAATCACATGGAATCGGCTAATAGTGCCACTTGCTTAGCTAGCTTATAAATAGTGAGCCTTACCAAAGGTTCTTGCTTTAGGCTGAGTCTATTTCAACATAGGTAAGCGATAGTCCATGCAATTTTACTGAACATACTTCAATATCATATCTTAATATGCTATTAACCACTCAGACTTGCTTCTTCTCAAATGCAAGCAGACATTATCTAGAAACCCTATTTGTCACGTGGGTTGCTCTTGTCGGCATTGACCTTACAATTTGAGGCTGGATTTTCGTATGTTCCTTAACATCTCCTTGCTAGAATGAATTCAGACACAGGAAAAACTCACGGTCAATTGGTACTCCTTCTGCCGAAGGCGAGTTGCACAATCATAGACAGTTTCGAATTGCCTCGGAGCAGGACATTGGCAGCGCCGAAAGCGAGTTCTGGTGCATGTGGTATAATCACAATTCGCCCATGAACTCCAGTTGCACCATTCTCCTGGAAAGTTTGGCACCCGACAAGACTCGAATAACGCCTGGTACTTCCAATTATCACGCTTTTTGTAACACTCAGGTGACACGAATGAGATAAAGAGCATGGCACATAGCAAAATCCTCATCTTAACAAACTAGGTTCCCACGTCCCGGCCACAACGCGTTGATCGATTGGACACGGAGGTTTAAATGTGAAGAGAGCATTCCTCTTAGAGGAAGGTTAGGGAATTAACTAAGTCTGTGTCACTGACAGAAAACTAATATAGCTCATTAGGCCCTTAAATGATTGAATCATGTTGGTTAATTAAGTGACGCACTTATGAAGAACCAGACAGCTGCAACAATAAATTGAATGGCATTTGAAGACACTGAAACATGGTAGTACCAAGCAAGGCCGAAGAGAATGCATCTCACCTCACCTTGTTTTGGGATGGCTCAAACAGCTTTGTATAGGGACAGAGGAGTTTGAATCTTAGAGCCGCAGTTTGAGGGGTAAGCCCACACCACCTATAGCACAGCCAAGTAAGAATATATAACTCTCAATATAGGATATATCTTTCCCATTCGTATTTTTAATAGGATATAGAAATATATATTCATATGATTTAAAAAATAGTCACGATAATAGAACTGATATTTTGTTTATTTAAGATAAAATGTAAGAAACATGTGACTACTGCCAGTGAGTTTCTATGTGGAGCTGACCTTTATCTGGCGAAAAAGTGTAGGACAGAGAGATCAAAATGTTGATCTCATCAGGAGACAACGGCAGAGTTCTCTTGGTATGCCATATTCTGGTCGAAAACTCAGCATGTGAACCGAACACAGATGCCTCAAGGATTGCATCAGCCTGGACATCCCGACAAAGTGAAGCCATAGCAGACTGATATCGACATACGAATCTCTTTACCACGCTTCCGCACACGTACCCCTTCACGAGTGATTTTAGGGGAAGGCATTTTGTTAACAGCTAACAGCTCTAGCATAGTCTAAGTATAAACATGCTATTACGAAGACATACAAACAAGGAATAATCTGGCAACAAACGGACTCCCCAAAATAATTACAGAACAAATAACGGTGAGCAGGATTTCTATCACAAATAAATCCTTTCTCAAGTCATTTTTCATGGCAAGAAGATATCGAGCAGGCGAGCACGCTTAGCACTCAACTTGGACTAAGTAACAAAGCTAGCTCAAAATCCTTACTATTCATTCAAACTTGTATAGACAGTTTTAATGAACAGGAGGAAATGGAGGGAAAAAAGAGGTATTAATAAGTTATCTGTAAGTTCATGGAAAGATAATACGGAGGACCACCCAAAAAGCACCTAAATCCAGTGCTTAGAGTTCTTTTGAGTTATGAAAACGGTGATATGCTAAAGGCACAGAAAGACAAAAGTCCAAAATGAATTTTAGATAAGGGATGACTAAACAGGAATTCATCAATCCAGCTTTTATATTTCCGACCAAGCCCGAAGCATGTACTTCAGGAGCGATATATTTGGCCTAAATCGCTTCATATAGGCCTCTGTCTTAAGCAAAACACTGGGCCAAGATTATGGAATAAAATATTATAGTATAATGTAACAATAATAGCGTAAAAATACGATATAGCAAACTTCCTTTCTGATTTATGGCCAACCTCTGCTCATGGTTACATTGATGTATAAAGCATCAACTAATGAGAAGTCAGTCCAAATGGCCAGCAAACAAGTTTGTGTAATTATGTAAAGTAAAAATCCCAAACGTTAAATACCGATTATGGCTCCCCAACATCAAAGGCTTATGTAGACCTCATGCGTTGAGTAAAATTAAGAACCTGTTTGAAAACAGCAAAAAATAAGATATTAGCGCTCAAAGAAAGCTACAGAAACTTGTCTTTCGATGTTAAGCAACAATGTGCACAAAAAGTATCCAAACTTGCTTGGTGCAATTATAGAGGGCTAATGGACCGAAGAAACAAACCAAGCTTCCACAGGAAAGCAGAATTCATGAAGAGAAGACCAATAACCTATAGGTAGTTCAGCGCTTAATGACGAAAGTCTGTCTCTATGGCGAATCCGTAAAGGTCTGTTAAGAAAAGCTTGAACAATCTCAAGTATTATTTCTACCCAAGCACCTACATGATCGCTATGGTAAAAATTGGAACTTATAAACACAGCATTCCACTTTGGCTCGTAGCCTAAACCAGAAAGAAAACGAAATAGAGACAAAACCCTTTTACGGTGTATTATTAAATAAAATCTCGAAGCCAGACTGCACCATCTCCCTCATTAGTCTTGGAATATCAAATATATTTAGGATGAATAGATAGAATCTGAATTTATTGAAACTTGACACCAATAATACAACAAATATATAAAAGTATCAGTAATTGAGATTTAGTTGTGTAATATACATAGAGATACTACTTTTATTGCACAAAATTACCGAATATACTCGTAATTAGCCGCTTGATGCTATTGACGAAAAAGGTATTAGCACTCATTCTGGTCATCTGTCTAAATATGAAGGAAAATGATATTCCTCGATCAGAGAATTATCATGCTGTTACTTTTCAATGGAAATTTGACAGCAAGAAACAGCTAGGCTTTAACGAACCAAAGTTAAATTGACTATTCTAAAGGACGTAAGTCATTAATATACAACATGAACAACCGAAGTAACGAGGTAGTGCCCTATTTTCATGAGTGATAATAAATGGTATAAATCAATACAAGTA